CTCATTGAAGGCATCTTCCGAAGCCTAAAACTTACTCAAAGGGGGCCGACTCCTTTACAGCCGCAGGTTTGAGTTGGCAGAAAAGTACAGCATTCTTTGTTAAAGTTTCTGTCGATGCTCTTGAACCTCCTTCTCCCCCTCCAGGTGCTGCCGGTTGACTGGAAGTTACTACTTCGGTACACCTTCCAATGACGCACCCGATTGTAGTGCTGTTAGACCCGAGAAGATATGCCAGGTTGGCTCCTGCATCTTGATTCCAGATATTTTGCCACTCTTGTTCGGTCTTGGGGTATGTTTTGCTTTTGAAAAAGTGTCAGCAAAGCACAGCACAGGTGCATAGTGAGAAATGGGTTGCAGAGAAGGCGACGTAGCTGCTTACATGTACGTTTGATTTCAATGGCGTCGCATTTTGCTATACAAGGAATGGATATGATATTTTTCTGGAGTGATGGTGAATGTGGCATTTACTCACTTGAAGACGGTCAATCCCGCTTCAAGAGCTTTCTGCAGTAATTCACGGTAGTCGAAACTGGCCTCCGACTCGGGTGCGTGCTCGAAAGAGTAATGGAAGCGCTCCTTCTATACGCCCAAAAGAAACGTAAGATGGCAGGACAGCTTCTTGTCTCAACCAGATAAATGGCTGCACAGTTTGTGTCGGGCTGTACAGTGGGGTTTAGAGCTGTTGTTGCCGCAGCACGAGTAACGGGAGCAACTGCGCAGATTCACTGATTAGGTAGTTGTTTTGCTCACCAGTTCGGCGGTCATCAATGCAGTGCAGTCCTCCGCGTCGGGATCTACTTCGGCTGTTGCTTTTGTTACTTCTCCCGTCAACTCAGTGACAAGGCTTTCGTCCTTTGTGACTTCACTGATGTGAACTGGGAGCTTTCCATTACGGGCCAAGTTGGCGGACAAGTAAGCGTCTGCGGCGGAGAAACAGGAACAAAGTGACAAGAGGGAATACAGCATGAGGCGACCAAGGGTCCGCCGCGGCAGAATACTTGATAGCTTGGCATCAAACACGAAGGCGTAGAGCATGACGGGTGAAATGGAGGGGAACACATGCTCACCTTCATCTACATTCACTACTGTGAATTTATACGTTGTAGAATCCCCCTCTCCCCCGCCATTGTCATTGTCCCCCTGTGCGTGTGATTGGAGCACACCGAGTGCGACGAGGCACATTGCTGCTGCCGTCTTGTAGAAAGAAGCCATGCTTGTGAAAGAAGAGAGGGAATTTCAATATCTGGTTTCTTTCAAAAAGGAAC